TTTATGAGTTAGCCGAGTCAGCCGGCTGACAGCGAAAACAGGAGAGCACACTAATAGGGACAAGCCTTAAAATCTTACGGTATTACTGGACTCATACAATAAATAACATAAAACATTTATAAAGTACTTATGTACTTTACTATTTTATTAAATTAAACTAATTTATGATATAATTTACATTTTACATGATGTAAATTATGTTAATAATCAATTTATTCACTTCTATTTGAGTAAGCGTTTCTTATCGTTTTTGCTAAGACGTTCGAGTTAATTCCTCTAAATTGTGGTATGCATCATTTAAAAAATATTTATTATGCTTTAACAGTTAAAAAATAGAATATAATATTTGGTGTTATATACGTTAATACTTGAATTTAATAAAAAAAAAATACTTTGTTTATTTATTTGTACCAGTTTATTTTTATGGCTTATTTAAATATAAAAGCACACTAATATAGGGACAGGCACACTAATAGGAACACTTACCCTATATGTGGAACTTTTTTTCCCGGGTATCAGTTATACTCAGTCGATTATGACATTACATTTTAATTTTATGTGTTGACTGATGTCGTACTGCTGGTTATAAGCGTAAGAGGAAAGACGTTTTTCACTTTTCACAGAGAATGGGTAAATCCAGTGTTTACGAGATGTATCATCGAAGTTCTCAATTGCAACTGACGACGTTGGATGTCTGTTACAGTCGTATTACCATCGTTGGTTAATCAGCATTCTGCATGATATTGCTCTTTCTCACACTTAGTGCATAATGAATATTAATGTTAAGCTTTTAAGTAATATATTTTTTATATATGTTGAAAATAATTGTGCTATTCTGTATATCTCATATACATGTACATAAACACACACACACACGCACGCACGCACGCACGCACGCACGCACGCACGCACGCACGCACGCACGCACGCACGCACGCACGCACACACACACGCACGCACGCACGCACGCACGCACACACAGTTTATCGCGTATACAATAATTTGATTAATTTTAATTCGGGAGATATCTATTGCATTTACTGAGCCATTTTGATTAAACATGAAACATGGGAAATAGATAAAATCATGCTACTATTAAAATATTCTCCGTTGTAGTAATGTCACTATGGCAGAATATTGTAAAAAGTAAATGAGCTATCTCTATATCCTACTGGTATGATATCGATAATCGTCTCCACTGAATTCATCTTAAAAACAACAATACAAATATTCAGAAATTGTGAAAAAATAAATAATCATTTTAATTTGTTAAATATAAAGCAATTTGATATCTAAGAAATGCTATCTAGTCTATTAGAAAGTAGGAATGGCATGTATTTGGAATTATTGACATAAATGTCTAATGCCCAGCCGTCAAGAAAAAAATTTATTGTTTCAACAACAAACACAGAACAGCAACATCTAAGATTAAAAACGATGTCAATTGGTATTGTTAACAAATAATTTACAGACATCTGAGATCTACCACACGGTACATTTTTTCTCGGGGTTCATTCTGGAGCCGATTGGGCAATTAAAGTCGCGCGAGAACTCCTCCATGTTCGATAGTGGTCCATTAATGCGAAATTCGTACGGACTATGGAAATCCGACATAATCTGTAGTTTTAGTGCTTCCGGCCGATACTTGCTGCAAAAAGTGTTAGCCGCGCTTATCCAGAACATTTGTTCCGGGCTGTACGGCAAGCCCGGTAATATCTGTTCCGGATTGTTTCGTTTGACCCATTCTTTGTATGCATAATAGGCTTCTTTTACGCCGCCATTGTCGGCGATGTTCTCACCCAAGGTGTCTATCCCGTTCAACTGTAAAAATGTAATACATATAACAATATTTTAATTTAAAAAATATATTTATCATATAATAATTATAAAAGAAATTTGATATCATTTCTTTGTGTCATTAAAAAAAATTATTCTACATCATCTATCTTATAGAACCGACTGCGGTTTCGCTTATATTAATTGTCGCATTATGCTCATTATATCACAAGATGAATAATATAACGATTATGCTAAGAATTAAATTACTCGGAGTGTTTAGTTTCTTTGACAAGCTGTGTGCTTTTTTACATAGAACTGCAATGAAAATACAAGATTTACTGCGTATTTTTTAACTTGGTATTTCTTTGACAAAGTAAGTTTAAGTACTTAGTAATCGTGTACGAATACGATATTACGAAATTTTCTGTTACCATCATCATTACTCATATCGTACATAAATGTTTTATTCTTACAATTCTGCGACAATAAGTATTGACTGAAATGGTAATTATTCTTGTAAAGACAATGCGGTTTTATCTAACAATTATGAGAGTAATAATAAAGTATATAGAAAGAGTTATTACGATTAGTATGACGTTATTAATTATTATTATATCTGCAATTACAAAATATTTCCTTTAAAAATTATAATCAATAAATGTGAAACAACTCATACAATAAGGCAAAAGTTTTTTCATATTTTATCGATATAAATGGATTCTCCTGGCAAAAATTTAAAAAAATACTCACATAGTAAGAAAATATTTTGATAAACATAGAAATAGATATGTAAGATTTGTTCTTACGTTCATTCCGACTTCTTTTACGGTATAATTTCCGTACTGATAAATTATACATTCAGTTCTCTGGAGATAACGCTTGTTCGTCTCTGGGTCCCACCAGTCCACAAGATTACCCTCCTTATCAAATTGTCTACCTTGATCATCAAAGCCGTGAGTAATTTCATGGCCAATGGAACACCCGATTCCGCCATAATTCATGTATTTTGGCCGATCATTGCTGAAAAATACACCTTGCAAAATACCCGCGGCGATTCCTATGAGAAAAATAAAAGAATGTTTCGGTAGACAAATATCATAAAGAATAAAAAATGAAGGTAATATAATTTATCAAATTTATTATATTATTGTTGTGCACATTGAAGTATATATCAATTACTTAATTTGCAAATATTAATCTAATAACATTGTTTACACACACACACACACACACACACGCACCCACGCACGCACGCACGCACGCACGCACACGAGATTGTTTCTACTTACCAATACTATTCTCGAACGGCGAGTAATATGCATTAACGCTAGAGGATCTTGCAGCATGAATTAACCATTCTGTTTTCTTTGCTGGCTGTCTTAGTTTACTAAATATAAAATTCCATAGATATATATGTAAGTTAAAAGCATTTCCTATGTAATCGTCGGCACTCAATTCAAATTTCTCATAATATTCCTCGAGTTTCCTATCATCCAACAGTTCATTTGGATAAGCAATATGTAAAGTCATGGCGGTTGCTTTTTCTAAAGCGTTCGTTTTGGTCTTCTCGTTCATCCATTCCACCTAAAATTAAGGCTTGTAATTTCGTAAAAAATTTAAATTCCTATATATATACACATGATAAAAATTTTTTAATTTTACATCTTTAACATATATCTTTTATAATGACAAATATCGATTACTGTCGTTTTCAAAATTCGAATTTATTGATAAAGACATGTGATAAGATTTACTTTCTTTGTTTTTAAATTATTTTAATTTTCATATCAATAAGAAAAATACCAGACAGATTTTTATTTTTAAAATTCCAATCTTAGATGAGAAACTATAATTGTAAGTGGAAATATTATGATTGCAAAATTTTCATTCTCTTTATACATATAATTTTAAATTTAAATTTTGATGCATCCTCTCACCTTATTCAGGATTTTCATGAATTCCTGCCTAATATTATCGACCATTTCGAACGCGGTTTTCTTTGCGTCCTCTTTAAAGTACTTCCTCACATACATCGAGCTAATACTAATTATCATTACGCTGTCGAAAACAGTGTTTATACATTCTTTCCATCTCGGTTCTCTTTCT